TTTTTGGTATCAAGGCTTAGGGGAAAAAAGTTTTCACACCTTCATGTGCAGAAAGTTTAATTCTGAATATTCTAGAACTATTCCCAAATCTCTGGATAATGAAGCAAACACTCGGTATGGCCTGCTTCCACTGGCTCTTGGTTCATAAGAAGCACCTGCCCTCAAGTACTATGCCCACTGAATCATCAGATATCAAGAAGAAGGGAAAACAGCAGGCCATGCAGACAGGGCTCAGAACCTGCAGCACAAGCACTCAGCATGAACCGAAGCCACAGCTAGCATGGTGCCCATCACCCACTCTCCCACCAGGAGCTGCCCCCCACATCCTAGGTTAGCACTGCTGCTCTGCCCTCAGATCTCCCCAGCAGCCCCAGCATGTACCAAACACCTCCTCTCCTGCCCTTTCCATACCTAACATGCTTGGTTCTGTCTTTATAAAATGGAGCATAACAGCTGAGCTACAAAGCAATCAAGATAATGCAAGTTATCTTCATCTTGCCTGGCTCAAGGTAAGTGTTTGCTTGATGCAAATAAACAGCTAGGATGCCCCTTCTGCCAGGGTGGCCACACGGGAGACACTCACAGTTGCATCTGCCCACCACTGTCATCCTGGCAGCCCTAGCGGCCACACATACACAGCTCCTGGTGAATCTTCCTGGCTAACTTGTACTTAAGAGTTCTTGAGTCCTAAACTCTTTCCTTTCCTCCTTGAAGACATTTTTTAATCAGCAGATTTTTGTTTGTTTGTTTTATCGGTACCAGGATCTGCACTTATGGCTCTGAGCTAAATTCCCAGCCTCTAATCAGCAGATTAAAGGGCCAAAAATAATGGCAAAGCCAGAAACAGGTTAATATGTTTACACTGCAATAGGTTCACTTTCAGCACTTAAAATACCATGGCAGCACAATCACCAATGCATAAATAATAAACTAGAATTTTTATTCAATATAACTGATAAAAGTATGGTTTATACCATTTTTAAATTGTTAGTATGAATTTTACTATATTTGAAGATAATTAACTTGAAAAGAGGGTCCTTAAATCAAACTACCTATTTCAGCAGATTTTCAGAATAAATAATGATTATGGATCTATGAAAAAGACAAAAGAGTACAAAACATGAATGAAAAAATGACTTTTTTAAACTTAGATTTCCTTTTTGTTTGGTGTTTTGTTTTGTTGACACAAGGTATCACTATGTAGTTCAGGCTGGCCCTGAACTCACTTGGTAGCCCAGGCTGACCTCAAACTCATGGCAATATTCCTGCCTTAGCCTGCTGAGTGCTAGGATTTATAGGTGTGTGGCACCAAAATTAACTTACTTAAATAAAATAAAACATACAATTTTTGCAAAACAATAAATGCTAGAGACTAAGTTAAAGGGCAGTACATTGCTCAAACAATTTCCCAACACACAAAAAAAAAAATCAATTAAAAAGTCAATAAGAAAAAGAAAAACAAATCAATAGCAAATGTAAGCAAATAATGACCACGCAATTCTCAGAAGAGCAAACATCATACAATAAACACAGAAAAGGTGTAACCTCACATGCAAATTAAACAACAAAAGAACTACCACAATTTCACTCCTGTGATGGGCAAGAAACACTGTAGTGTAATATTACCAAGTGTCAGGCTACACCATGACCAGCACTCCTGTACGTGGCTGGCAGGAGTATGAATTCAGGGCACTGCTTTGGTGAGCAGTTGAGCACTATCTAGTAGCTTGAGAATGGAGAACACCTGCACCTCGGCGCTCACAGGTGTGCCTTGTCTACCAGGACAGCACTTTCCAGAGCCACTGCTGATCAGCTACAGTGGCAGGCCTAAGGGCCTGTGAGAAACCCATGTTCTGCAGCCCCAGTCCAGACCTACTGACGTGGGTTCAGGGTGGGCTTTAGGAGTCCTCTGGCACATTACAACTCATGCTAAGCTTCACAACCAATAGAGAAACTTCTTGCTTGCTCTGATAATATACTGCACCAGAAGGGTACTGGAACATAGTCCTTGATGCATTCTCTAGGAAGGGTAGTATGAAAGGACTTTGTCAAGGGATGGTGTGGGAACAGTCTGACTTCCTTGAGGGCACACAGTAGCACATATATGCATAAAAATAAAAGCTCAGAGAATGTTTAAATAAAAATATAGAGTATAAGAGTGGGTACAGTATAAGAGTGGGTACAATCATTTATTATACAACACTTAAATGAAGTAAGGGATGGGCATAGCTCAGTGGCAGAGCACTTGCTTCGTGTTTGTGAGAGCCTGATTCAATTCCCAGTACTACAACAACAAAAGTAATGTAAATACAAAGCTTACTGTTGATGAAACCACCATATAACAAAGCACAAATACATTTCGCAAGAGTCCAAGACAAGGCAGGATCCAAGGCATTCAAAGGTTGTGTGGTGCTGCTCAGGGGTGGAAATGCTGCACACTGAAATTAAAGCTTTTCTTGTCTACTGCCTAGAGAACCCTAGAGCATTCAAGATCGTGAGCAAGCATTCACTTCCCATTCATTGCTACCACAGCAAAAAACGATGACATCACCATTTGAAGACTGGTTGTCTTGGTAACCTTCTGAAAAAACCTCAAGGAATTTGAGCAACTATCTCTAAGATGATAATATGTAATCTATTAACCGGTGATTTCTGTTTTTTGTTTTTGTTTTTGTTTTTGTTTTTGTAGTTCTGTATTACTTGTACCCTTACACTGCTTTGTTTTGTTTTGTTTTTTCTCTTTTTCTTTTTAAATAAAATTTAAAAAAAAAAAAAACCTCAAGGAAAGCAAAGCCAGTCTAAGAGAGGAGCCAGTGGGGGCTGTGATCACCAGCAATGTCGTGGGAAGAGGCCACCCAAGCCATGTGGAGTTTGTCTCTTACCACAGCTTGCCCCGGGTGCTGGACAAGATTTAATGTTTGCTCTGCTGGGTCTTAAGTCTGATGCCCTGTGCCACTTTGTGTTGGAAGTGCTTAACTTGTTTTTTAACTTCCTTTAACTTTACAAGGATCACAGCTAAAATTACATTTTAAGTCTCAGAACAGACTTTAGTCTTAGATATTTCAGCAATGTTGATATTATGAGTCTTTGGGGGGCCAGAGGTGAAACATTAAGGTTTATACCCCCAAGAGCTTCACAGGTGGAGCCTTTGGAAAGTGAAGAGTATGGAGGTTTACAGAAGACTTGCTGTTGGGAAGTTGCATCTGGTCAGAAGAGTGGGCCATTAGAACTGGCCTGGGACCTGGAAGGGATTATCTCCCTCACGGGCACCTCCCATCACCCTGTGACTCCCCGCAGCCAGACTGGGGGGAGCTGCCCTCCACTAGAGTCCTATACCCTGCCTTGGAGCCAGCCAACCACAAACTGATCCTTCTGCAAACTCTGAGCCCAAATAAACTTTATCTCCTGTAAGCTGTGGGTGCCAGACATTACCTCTCAACAGTGTGAAAGTGACTGAGACAAGGGCCCGCTTTCTAACAGCACATTAAGCTCTGGAAGCATGAACAGATAGATACTCTGATGAGCACAGCACCCCCATGGTCCAATCACCCACACCCGTATGAAAATTCTGGGGGGCTTTTAGATCTAAGCCACAGCAGTAAGGACCTGTGAAACCATTATATTGTCATGTTCTGTGCAGTATTCACTAAATCAGGAGAGACTCAACACTTTAATATCACCTGGAGCTGTGTGTTACATTAGATGATTTTTCTAACAATGGGCAAATAATGTTACCCAGTAGACTGGGGTAAGTCTCAAGGGTAGGTGTATTAAATGCATTTTCAACTTGCAATGTTTTTCAACTTACAGTGGGTTTACCAGGTTACAATCCCAGCAAAATCCAAAAGAACATCAACAATTCTTCATCCTTATGAGTACTAGAAAACTATATTTCTGTGTAAGAAGAAATCTTTCAAAATGACTACAAGGTTTTAAAACTTGAATCTTTGTGACATCTAGTGGTAGCATAAGTTGCTACAATTTAAAACAATCAGAAACAAGTTTGATTCAATGCATTAATTTGGTTTTCAAAAGCCTCTGCTTCTAGAAGCTTGTAAACATTCCTTAGCTTTTGTTTTAGGAGCTCTAAAACAGAAAAGATTCACACCATGGACTTGGGTTTAAAAAAAAGTGAAAGAAGTAAAGTTCTCCCAAGGACCCAGGATGTGCCTAAGCTCCCAGGTTCTGGAGCCAGAGAGTATGGAACACACATTAACAAGATCTGCCCTTTAACCCCTGCCCAGCACTTGGGCCCTCTGATTAACATGGAAGAAGTGATGCCACTCAGCACTCCCAGACTTTCTTGGTTCCCATTCGACTTACTCTGTGTGGCTACTCCCTACAACATTCCTGGATGTCCTAAGCCCAAAGAGAAAGGCAGACATGGACACCCAGCAGCGCAGAGGGGTGAGTTCCCACATCTGTTCCAGTGAGGGCAATGAGCCAGGCAGAAGAAAACTCCTCAGCAGGACAGCAGAGAACATCCTTTCCCCACTGAAATCTCATCACAAAAGTGAGGAGCACAGGTACCCCTGAGCACCACCTCCCAGAAATCTGAAGAAGCCCTCACTCATTCCCAGTAGGAATCATACTTTCTCAGGCAGGGCAGGAGGGTAGCCCCCCTTCACTCTAGCAGCCCTGGGCCTGCTCCTGGGCCATCTTGTTCTGCATTCACACCCATATTCTTTGAGTTCACCTCTTGCCTCCATTGGTTGCTTCAGAAACTCTTTCTTCTTTCCACCTGACGAAATCACACAAATAATCTTGTATTGGGGAACCAACAATATTTTAAAGCTACTCTTAACACCCATTTATACAGCTGTCTTTAAAAGAGAGGGGGATGGGGCTGGGGATTTAGCTCAGCAGCATAAGTGCCTGTCTTGCAAGCAGGCAGTCCTGAGTTCGATCCCCAGTACCGGTAAAAACGAAAAAGACAAAAAAATAAGAGAGGGGGCAGAGCTCAAATTTGGAGGGAAAAATACAAATCAGGAGTCATGATCTGAAACTTGAAACAAGCAGAGAAATTTATTGATCTTGCTTTGGTTGATCCTACAAATCTTGATCAATGCTTAATGTAACCTAAAGGCAAATAAAAAGTAAATATGCTTTAATACAATGAAAACTGTGAATGGCTATGAAAATAAGAGTGTAAATAATTTATACGTAATTATGTAAATCAGTTTTTTGCGTTTCAGGAGATGTCAAAGAATATCCGAAGGGAGTAAAAGCATCAGTTATGTTTGTGATGTATTTCTATCCCTTCCTTGTTCTCATCCCTTTACATCCCTCTTGTGAGGGGCCTCTTCCTGTGGCCACACCTCCCTCAGGTGTGGCTTCTCCCTGAGCCCACTGACCTTCACTTCCTGCTTTCCTAGGCACCCAGCTCACTCCCTTCACTCATTAGCATGGATGCCCAAGGCCCTGAATTTGAACCTCCAGCTGGGCCTCTTTCCGGCCTCAAGTGCTCTTCTACCTCTTGGTCCTGCATATCCCAGAAGTGCCTGGAAGTCGTCCTCTGTAAGTGGAGCCCTCTACTTCCACTTCCTGTATTCCTCCCCCAGTAGACTGTAGCACTAGACACTAGTCAGTAACACTGTTGGCTGACTGGCAGAGGAAGGTGTTCGGCTTTACTCCTGACCCCATCTCTCTCTCTTCCATTGAGTCACTCCCGCTCTCCACTGTCCAACCCTGCTCATCTGGCATCTGAGGATAGCAGCAGCCCCTTTTCCACATCTTTCCCCCTCTAATCCGCTTCCATCTTATCAAAACACAGCTCTAAACCTAAAACCTTTCAGTAATTCCCACTGTGCTCAAGTCCAAACTCCCCAACATGACCTACAGAACCCCCATTGTCTTCCCTGTCCACCTCCACACCACACACATCAGCCCTCAGGCAGCAGCTTTCTCTCCTCATCCTGTGGCTCATCTCACGAGGAGTCCTTGAGCTTCACCTCTAGGAAGACTTGTCCAGATGAGTCCAGCGCTCCCCGCCTGTCCCTCTAGAGTGCTTTCCTGCTGTCCCATGGTCCCACTGGAGGGTGTTCCCAAGTACTTATTACCTCCCTGCAGTGTAAGATCTTCCAGACATTTAACACAGATATATCCAGAGTCCTCTTGAAAACATCCTTCACATCAGACCCCCCAATGTCTTGTCTGTCTAGGTTACTTCAGATTTCTACCAAATCCCTTAACTGGCCTCCTTATATCTACTTCCCCATTCTTTCCCCTACACTGTGCAGTGTAATCAAAACATATGGTTAATATTTAAATTTTTAAAAAATGTATTCAGGAAAAGATGATGCAGCCATTAATCCTCTCAAAATACCCCTTGCTTATCTCACTGTTCTCACCACTTTCTGAAGCAGTTCTGGAGTCCTCTGTCATCAAAGTACAGTTTCTGCAGCCACCAAGGGCCGTCCAAAGGAAAGGTGGACTGTGTCAGACTGTGTCCTCACACACCCTGTTCACTAGACCTGTTAACAGATAGCCAGTGGCTTTTCCCCAAAGTCAAAATGACCATGAAAGCTAAATGTTTTAAATCAGTTCAGGACATCGAAGCAGCCATGACAGCACCACTAATGAGGACTTCCAGAGCTGCTGCAGAAAGTGGTGAGAATGATGGGATGTCTCCAGAAGCAAAAGGGAGGTTTCTGAGGGGGCACTCACAGCAATGTGTCTTATGTAATAATGTTTTTAATTAACATTCTCCATATCTCCTGACCATACCTTGCATAGTTAGAAGGTCTTTCTAGTCTCAGTTCCCATCGCATCGGCCTCCACTGCCTGCAAGATCAAACTCAAGTGTCTGAGAAGAAATTAAAACTTCTTTTCCTGAGCTGCCCTTGCCTCATCCATCTTCCCTGACTCTCCTCCCTGGGTCTTTACCACACTTGGGGTTTCTTCAGCCTCCCATCCCAGGGGAAGATGCAGATTTGCCAGGGAAGTGCTTTGGAGAGGGTAGAGAGCACACCTATGTCACAGTCAGAGCCAGCAAGAACTAGTTTGCTCCCTGGGAAGAAAAGGCTCACTTCCCAGGGCTCACATGTACTCAGCTTTATCAAAATAAAAAGTTTTAAAAATCTGTTTTTCACAAAGTATTTTGATACTTACATCAGGTAACATGGGCTCATCCACTTCTTCCACTCTGCTCAGGTTCGGTGCCCCAAACCGGTCACTGATTTCTGCTATTGTTTTGCCTGCCTCTTGCGCTCCTTCCTACAATGACAGAACTCACTTTTACTTGTATTAAAAATTAATATATTACTTTTCTCTCAATTTTGATATAATATCTTAATTGAAACAGCAAAATTCAAAATTGTTAATGGCATTAACCAATACCTGTAAATGGACAGAGATTTCTAGTAGTAAGTGCTAAATATTATTTTAAAAATACATTCAGTTCAGATGAGATTGTGTGTGTCTGTGTATACAAGACAGATACCTATATACCAATCACTGTTAATTCATAAAAAAGAACAGCTTGTGATTTCATTGTTTGATCACTTTTTCATGCCTACATCTTGTAATCTTAACAACTACTTTGAAGATGACAATATGCAATATATTACCTAGTGTTAGTTTCCTATTATTTTATTTTGAAAATCTGTATCATACTTGTTTGTTTAAAAAATTCCAAAAAAATACATGCAGAAACTTAAAATGCAGGATTTGTAAGTAATTCTGTGGCCAACAGTTTAGCACATTTTGGCTTCTCAAATACATACATACACTGAATTCAATTTTTACCTATTTTGAGATTTTTGCCTATCCAAAAATATATATTTGGACTATCACTCTGGCAATATCCTTATTAAAACGTGGGCTACTGATGCATAAAAATTAAGCTTTATATTCTAGGAGCTTCATTCATTTCACAAAACAGAACATCTTTTCTTCTCACCTCTTGATGTAAAGCATCTTCACTCTTGGCTATATTTTCCATATTCATTCTCATCTCCTAGAGCATATAAAATTCAAAAAATAACTATACTTCATTTTGATTCCATGTTTAATTTTCAAGTATTTTATTTTTAAGGAATGTTTTGATTAAAAGTAAAAGTGCTGTCATGCTTTAAGAAGTGATCTGAATACACTTAACCCAAAACTGCAGATCACAGTTCTATCAGTATCCATACTGATAGAAGACAACTGTACTTTATTTATAATTAAATAATTTTTAAAAAGAAAAATGGGCTAAATATTAAAATTGAGGTAAAATTATTAGGGAATATGACAATGCACAAAATAAAAGATCTAATATAACCTTAGAATAAGAGATTTTAAAGAGAAGTTGGAGTTAATATGACTTTTATATACATAAAGTAGTAAATTTTTCTGAAGGAATTAATTTTGCCAAAGTTACCCTCTAATGCCAGAGCCTTCTCTTAGCAACACTCTCAAGGATGCTCTGAGTGTCATCACAGCCCAGCTGGGTGTCCTCTCTCTTGAACCCAGCCAACCCTGGCTGGACTGTGCAGCAGGGTAACCTAGCCAATGCTGAGCGGATTAAGCTGGGAGACCAGTGGTCTCAGGGCCATACACGGGTCACCCTGCTTCTGTGGATGTGCTATAGTCAACTCCACTCTCCTGGGGACTTCCTATCCTGCACCCTGGTGGGTGTAGAGGCATGTCTCTGTTCCCATCCCTAGAGATAGATGACACACACTAAGCCAGTCAGAATCTTTCCTCAAAATTCTTCTCTTAATTAAAACAACCAAAACATGAAACTCAGGACAATTAAGGACACATTGCTCAGGGTACCCTCATCCTTCAGTTTAGGAGTTACGTGCCTTCTTCAATTCAGGGCCCTTCCAGCCCTTTTCCTTTGGAGAATGATAGCTCAAATTATGTGTCTGCAACCACAGAGGCAGCCATGACAAAGGACAAGGGTGAGGCTGAGATGGTTCTTTAGGGGAGACAAGCAATAATGGCCCAGGGAAACATGGCTTGAAGTTACTGTGATTCTGGCCACAGAGGCTGCTGATGCCTGAAGGGAGTGGGTGTGACCCTCTGGAGTCACGAAACTGGGATAGTGACTTTCAAGCACACAAATAGAGCTGTCACCTCAGGAAAGAAAATTAAAATTCTATTTTGATCTTTGTAGTCTTTCATTTTTTTGGTCACTGACACATCTAAAAAGAAAAATATGCTTCCATACGTGTGTACATATGTACATACCCAAGTGCTGCTACACAGACTAACATGACTTCAGCATCTGTATTTTTAAAATGATGTACGAGTATCTGAATTTATTCTCTACAGTTCTGTCTTTTTATTCATTTCACTTTTTAAAATTTACTTTGAATAACTCTCATCTAAGTCTTTAATAAACACAACACGCATATTCTATAAGCCTTGTTTCTAATTTCAATTTGACTGTGGGGGCAATAAGAAGAGTAACATTTGAGCAAGAGATAGCAGCCATCTCCTCAGTCCATCAGCATTTTGGCATGTTTTGCACCCACTCTTCAGCTGCCAGGAACTGTTGGGCAAGTGGAAATGGGACACCACATAGATATAATCAGAGAACACAGGTCTTCTTGTAATAAGTCATTGCGTAGTTTAATAAAAGATAATATATTTTGAAAATGCAATCTATTATTAATAGATCTAACTTGAAGAAAGGAGACATGATATCTCAGAGATCATACACCCTCAGTATCACAAAAAATTTAGCCTGCAACATTGGCTACCATAAAGAGGAACAGCGAGCTCTTGACTAAAGTGTTGACAGAGTCCAAATTAGGGAACTTTCCTGCTCACAAAGCAGTTTCACGTATGTGATTCTCACTTTGTCCTCACAGCAATTCGGTAAGATATAGCTCATAATACTACCCTGCTATCCCTGTTTCTGAAACACATTAACTGAGACCAAAAAGGTTACAAAATTTGTTTAGGTCACACAGCTAATGTGCAGCAGACCAGTAGACTATGAATCAACTGGCTTCTTACTACAATAACCAGGAACAATTTAAGAATTCTAAAAGGTTTTAAACAAGCAGACATTTATAAAACTTCGAGTTACCTGGTCTAATTGTTCCTGAGCTCTCCCCAGCTCTTCTATTCTCTGTCTCTCTCTTTCTTGCATTTCCAGCTCCAGTTGCAATGCCAGCTGCTCCTGAATATTCAGAAATATATATACCTTATTGCAGGCAGATTAATTGGGAGGAATTAATTCTGTAGTTTCTAAATGCCCCAGGGTCATTTTGTTTATAGTCACCTAAATTTCAGAAGCTTACAGAAATAAATGGTCACTGTCACATAACTTTGGTTGTATCAGGACCCTTTTGGTAAGAACAGGTATCTATCTCTTTCTGTTATTTCTTTCTGCCAACACACTTGCTTAACAGTCACAAAATCTTCTCCAAAACAGTATTCTATATTCCATCTCTCAATATAATGCTTTGAGTGCAATGCACAAATTAACTGTACTGGTCAACAAGATAAGGCTAGAGAAATACCCACTATGTCCAGCTTTCATTGTAGTACTGCCAAATTTTATCTAAGTAAAATAAAGTCGATGGAGCAGAGAGCTAACTGTCTTCCCACTGGAATGCAACTGCTCTGGGGAGAGAGAGTTGTTGACAATTCTCTTTTCTACTAGACGGGCAGATTTGAGATTGCAAGAGTTTTAAGAGGCAGGAAGATCTTCATGCAACATATGTGCAGAGCTCATTTCCTCTATGTCTGTGAAAAGCTAACTGTATCAATCACTTTCTTTACTTCTGAATGTTACCCACTCCCCCTATGTTCCTCAACCTCATCCAAAGTAGACTAGGTTTGGACCCACTGGTTGATTTCATAGCTCCACCCAACTGATTCATTAAAATGCTCCTAAGCCAAAAAGCCATGTTTTATACAACAGCGCAACAGTCTGCCTCTTCTAAGAAACAAAAACATCTTTTCCGTTCAGGGTCTTCTTTCTGCTCCTTCACCATCTCCCCTACTTTCCCCACCAATGCACCTAACACTGCTCCTGCTGGGATCACCTGTGGCTACGGATGAGCTCTTCTCAGTCCAGCCTCAGGCAAGGTGAATGCCCTCCCCTGGGCTTCTGTCTATAGGACCAGCTGAATTTTTCTTTAACCCCATCACAGCTGTTTCCACAGTACAGAAGCTGCATGTGCAGATAAAGTGAGGAGAGGACAGAGCCATAACTAAGTGACCAGAGCTGAGGGGTTTTTATCACGTAGGCTGTGCACACCAAGGCTGGTACCGCTAGTTCTAGGACCCCCTGACCCTTCCCTTCCATGCCTCACCTGCTGAAACAAGAGCTCCTCAGCTCTGAGCCTCTCCAGCAATTCCTGCTCTGCCAGTGCTACTGCTCGTTCATGCTCCAGCTGGGCCATTTCCTTCTGTCTCTAGCATTGTTAAAAACCAATAGTACATGACCCGTCAGAGACCAAACCCTCTCTGAAAGCAACCTTAAAAGCATCTTAATCACACCAGGAAAAGCAAATTATAGATTAAAATCAGTCTATTCATTTGAAATTGCACAATAATTTGATGAGATGTATTCTGTCTGAAGAAAGCACAAAGTTAAAAGCATATTTGAGTATGACTAATAAGCATGTGAAAAGGAACACTACAATGTGTATGGAAAAGACTACACATGAAAGAAAACTCCAAAATATCTAAATAGAAGTCATCTTTAGGGTTTTTTGCCTTTCTACTATTTATGCTGTCTAAGTTTTTATACAACAAACATTACTTTTGTAATAGAAAGGATATAGAACCTTTAAAAACAAGACAAACATATTAAACCATTATTTTCTTCAGACTTCAAAAAGAAAGTGATACTTACCAGCTGTTCCATTGTCACATTTTCCTTATACTTATAAATCCACAAAGCTAAATACTCTATTGGATCCACAGGGTGAACTCTTGCCACTTCTGCAAGACCCTGAATTAGACAAGTCCCAAGATGCTTTTGAAGATAGGCTGATTCCATTTTTAACTCTTAAATAAAATCCTTTTAAAAAAATAACCATTTCACATTAGTTCAGGAAGTTTTCAATTAAGGTACAACAAGAGTAATGTCTGCCAAGGCCAACAAAGCATCACCAGTCACGGCACAAGAAAGCTGGTCCAGGAAACTTCAGTTTCCAGAAGGGCCTCTTGGAAGTGATTACAACTCCTGTAGTTTCAAAATCCAAAAGCATAGTCAGGTCCAGTCCAAGAGAGAAAGGAGCACTAAATGACTGCAATATGACTGTCTTGTCACCCTTCCAGCACACCTGAAGAAACAGAACCTGCAAGAAATCCAGGCAAAGGGCCTGATTTCTGCAGAAACAGACTAGGACACACAGCTGGCCGATGAAGCAGACAGGGTCTGGATGCAACTTGATTCCATGGCCCTGGGTTAATGAATCTACTGAGATCTTCCTCCTAAGCCATGGAGGCCATGTTTACAAACCATCTCTGCAGTCTACCTCTTTTTAAAAATCCACACATTTCCAAGGCTGAAGAATAAAATGTAGCTGCTGTAGATAACCGGTGTGGCTGCTCAGGATCTGGCCTGTGGTTCCTTTTCAGTTTCCCAGCAGCCACCTTCCCTGTCCCCACGGCAACCAGCACTCCCATCCTGAGGAATAAATCGAGCCTCGCCCTAAGCCAACACACCTTGATTAGCCCTTCCTCACTCTCAGAAAGTTCTCCTCACCTGCAACACACAGACCTTGAGTTTCTCCAGGCACCTCAGGAGCAGTGTCTCCTTTGAACACTACACACAGCCCAGGTCCTGTTGGCTGAGAGTTGAGTGAGTGTGCGCGCGTGTGTATGTGTGTGTGTGTGTGTGTGTGTGTGTGTGTGTGTGCATGCGCGCGCACGCGCGTGCATACACACACACATGCCCCTGTCTCTTCTCCCTCTAGGATACTAGCTTCTCTACGTTCTTAAGGAGTGTTTCAGTCACTGGGCTGACACAGCTGCCTATCCATGGTGGCAAGTGAGTGAGCTCCTGTGCTTTCCCAGTTAACATCCTTGTCTTCTGCAGCTATAAGGCAAACAGCAATAATCTTAGACATGATTTCTTGACAGAATATAACAACTTTCTCTTATGCTCTTTGAGAAAAGTTGCTCACTTCCAATAGCTTTAATATTTTATGAAATCCAGACTCTTCTGAGCTCCTGATGCAATGTTTCAATTATTCAACAGCTATACACTGAATGCCTCCAACAGGTACCACAATAGATAGGTATTAGGAATACAAAATTTATTGACTGAATGCTTGTGCAACTCCATTCATATGTTAAAATCCTAACTCCCATCTGATGCCTCCTGATGGCATCAGGAGGTAAGGCCTTTGGGAGACACTTCGGTCGTAAGGGTGGAAGCTTCGTAAGTGGGATTAGTGCCCTTAGAAAAAGAGGTCCCTCCTGTTTTCCTCCACATGAGCCCTGTGAAAACTAGGAAGTGGGCTCTTAACAGACATCACACGTGCCAATACCTCAGCTTTCTAGCCCCAAATCTGTGAGAAGTAAATCCATGTTAAGGCCACATAGTCTTTAGTTACTTTTTATAGCAGCTTGAACTCAAATAAAAGCAGAAAATCTCTGCCTTCATGGAGCTTCCAGTGAATGAGGAATAGAGATATTCAAATTATTCAAATCAATAAATGCAAAACTAAAATTGAAGTACTATGAAGAGAAGACAACTGTAGGATCTAAACAAGTCAGGGAATTCTTGTCCACAGGATAAAGGAACAAAATTCAGAAAGCAAAAAGCAAGAGCTTTGGCAGATCCAAGGGACAGAATGCGAGTCTAGGCAAGTCCTGGGACAAACGCACTTAGCGTGTAGCTTAGACTTTCAAAAACACCAACATGCTGGGGTTCATCCCGAGGCCCCCATGCTGCTCTTCACCATGTGATGCTAAGAGGACAACATGATATAACCTCTTCAGGAGGGGATTTGGCAAAATCTGGAAAGTCTCATACCTATTTGCCCTCTGTCCCACATATCTGACTTCCTGAACCCTCTCTCAAAAACACACTTGCAATCATACAAAATGGCATCAGCATGTGGTAATCTGCACTGTTACGTACCACAGTCAAGGGGGGACAGAGCTGGAGGTTCATGAAATGTACCACAGAGACTCTTGCACAGACAGAGACTGGGACCCTCCCAAAAGACAAGAGTGGTCCCCCAGACACAAACTGCAGGCAGGAAAGCTCAATGCTGAACTCATCAAAGCCACCTTCCATAGCAGTGTCAGCAGTGGGAAAATGAAAGTGTATGTGCATGCACATAGAGGCAGCCTAAACACCCCGAGATCTGAGTAAAAGTCCCACAAATGAGCTAAAGTCCTGTCAAGCTGGCACTGCTGCCTCAGCCACACAGAAAGAAAAGCATTCTTGCCACTGGCTTTAGAATTGTTTTCCATGGAACATCTTCTAAAAACAAAGCTGCCTCTTTGTCCCACTGTCATGTGAAGCAAGTAACATAAAAAAGGAGGTGATTCCTGCTGCTACTCCAGAGGACAGTTTCGAAAAGGAACAATGGGCCCCCAGGAAAATCTCTGGCCTGAATATCCAGCAACTTGAAGTCTGTCTCAGATTTGGGGGTACTTGATGTCTGTTTCTGTATTAGCAATTTTTCTCACTGCTGAGACAAAATACATGTTGCCCAAAGATAAGGAGAAAAGGTTTATTCAGCTCACAGTTTGTAGAGGTTTCAGCCCGTAATTGGCTGGCTCCAAGACACAGTGGCATAGCAGAGGGCAATCGTAGAAGAGGAGAAACAGCTCATGGTGGACAGAAGACAGTAAAAGTAACACGGGACCTTAGCAACTCTTTCTGTCCCCATCTGCAACCCCTTGAGGCTTTGGGGGGGGGGGGTCTAGACACTATCTATAACAGTCCAGGATTCTCAGTGGGAACTGGGTGAGGCTCCTCGACCATCTATTAACATCTCCTGTCCACCAAACACTGACAGTATCTACTCCTCCTACTGTGGTGGTAGTGGTGGGGTGGTGGTGTACTGAAGACTGAACTCTGGCCCTTCACAATGAGCTACATGCCCAGACCTTCTTTTATTTTATTTTGAGATAGAATCTGGCTATATTTCAAATTGCCCAGGCCATATTCAAACTTGTGATCCTCCTGCCTCAGCCTCCTAGAGTGCTGAGTTTACACACAAGTACTGCTTTCCATATACACCAGTAGTAACCTTAGCTCCCCAAAAGCACAATTCTTGTCCACAGCCCCGGCTGTCTTGACCTGAATGAGTGCACAAGGGAACCAGGGAGCGGTTGCCAGATTTTGCCAACAAAAATACAGCATGTCCAGTTAAACTCACACTTCAGAGAAACTACGAATAACTATCTTTTGGTATTAAAACATAACCCATTTACCTGAAATGCAAAATCAAGTATGCAGTGTTTGAGGTACCAGCGATCAGTCCCGGGGATGCTCCAACACTGAACTAAAACCCTATCCCTAAATAGCTCGTGGGCCTCAAACTCGCATCCCCACCCTTGGCCTCCTGAGTGCTCAGATCGCAAACGCCTCGCGGCATGCGGTCTGTGGCTCGCCATATCCCGCTTAGGGATTTCCCGTCTGGTCTCCCTGAACAGCCCCCCTCCCCAACTCCCAAGGGTGCTGCGCGAGGAGGGAGGGAGAGGGTACTAATGAGCCACCGCCAGATCTCGGGCTTACCAATACACCTGGGGGACTCTCAAAGTCCGCCAGGGGAGCTGCCCGGTCAGAAGCGCAGCCGCCGAGCAACGTGCGCTCAGGCAGAGAAACCGCCTTCCCTCTACGAGCACGCCCAGACGCACGCGCAGCTCCCCAGGGCTAGCGCGTCTGCTGCTAGGCAACGGCAGCGCGTGCTTTGGAAGGCCCCAGGACGGTAAGCTCCGGGCTGCCTGGGGCGCGGGGCGCGGGGCGCATGGTCGGGAGCGCACGGGAGGACAGCGGAGCCTGGCTGGCGGCGGCTGGCGGGAACGGTGGGAGCGCCGAGCCTGGCCGCGGATTTCCGCCTCGTGCTCAGCGCCCGCCCAGGTCCCCAAACTCCTTGGTAGGTTCCCTGGTGCAGGTTCTGCCCCTGGTCGTTCCGTCTAACCGGCCCCGCGGTGCTCCCGGATGAGGCCTCCATAAACCTCGGAGACGCCAAGGGCCGGGTGCGGACCGCGGGGCGGAAGCAGCAGAGCCCTGGCTAGGCCAACAAGTGCGAGCCGGACGTCCCATGGGGTACAGGTGCGCGAAAACCACGGGTGCTCATCGACCTGCCTGCTGCGCGCAAGGTCGATATCAGACAGCACCTGGTTAGCAGACCCTTGGGAACTCGGGAAAGCCCTCAAACCGACGTACTCCTCTCCCTGCTCCCTCTAGCGCCGAGGAGGTGGGAGCAGCGCGTAAAGGAACCTCCCTCTGACGCCTGCCTCTGCACCGCCCCGCTGGTCTTTGTGGCAGATCTTCAGCCCAGATCGGCTTGCCTGGGGGTCGCATTTAGGCGTGAGCCCTTTAGAGAAGGTGCTTTATGCTGACCAGGCTGGTCACACCTAAGCAGCAGAGCAGTTGACCAGTAAGTCAGTGAGGGGACAAGCCCTGGAGACTCAAAACTGACCCTTCTGCTCTCTGGAAGGATGCTTTATGGGAATAAAGGCAAAGTAGGTCTGTACCTGCCTATAGTTTGGGCCCTGTGGGATTCTACACCTTCCTGTGCTAAATGTATTTGTATGGCTGTGTCTTGGTTATTTTTCTCATTGCTGACACAAAATACCTGACACCCGAAGTTAAAGGAGGAAAGATGTATTTAGCTCAGGTTCAGTCCATAGTCAGCTGGCTCCAAGGCAAGGTAGAAGAGCAGCATCATGGAGAAGCAACAGTTCATGGTAAGGCAGGCAGAAGGCAGCCTGCCTTTTCCTGTTACCCTATCCAGGCTACAGCCTTTTATGTGGTACCGACCACACCCAGGGATCCGCATCCTTAATCTCAGCAACACATCCTAAACCCAGCCACCTCTGAAGAGTTCCCCCTATGACCACATGAAGTTGGGGAGGGGGGAGGCTTGGATACAAGCCATAACAGGCTGCTTAGTCATCTTTCTTATTTTTTTCATAATCTTGACATTTGGAAGAGTACAAATCAGTTGCAGACATTCTCAGATTGGCTTTGTTTGATGTTTTAATTAGATCTAATTTTGCATTTGTACAGAAAGATGTTATAGTGCATATGAAGGAAATTCCATCAGGAGGCATGTGACATCACTGTGTCCTTCATTGATGATATCTAATTTGATCACTTGGCCAAGGTTTTGTTTGTCTAATTTTTCCACTGTAATTTTTTTTTATTTTCCTTCGTCACTAGGAAGAAACTGAGACATATGAACTATGTCTTTTTCCCCATTTATTTACTTACAGTTTTCATATGCATTCATGAATATGTATTGTGTTTCATGAGATATAATCTGTGAGAGTTGTTACAATTAAAATGGAGTCCCTAAGGCCAAGTCCTAACAGTCAGTCTATGAATGAAGCTGTGAGCTTATGAAGGAGGGATTCTCCTCCACTTGTGCCTGGTAACAAGAACTGTTGCAAGATTCTAGCAGAACCACCTCCTGCACAAAGGCCACCACAGTATTACAGTTTAGACCCAAAATGTCTCTTAGAAATCTGTGTTTGCAAGAGGACTGGATCAGGAGGTGCCATACTAACCAGTAGACTGAGTCCTTGCTCAGTTTCAGCTTTTTATTATCTCTACTAGTCATCTAATTATTATGAGGCACATAGTCAAGTTTTCCTTCATCAGTGAGTTATTCCTCATCTATTTAAACCAAGATTCAGAAAGCCTGAGGAACTTGCCGAAGATCACAAAGCTGTAATTGGCAGCTTACCAGGACTGGAACTCGGTTGATCTTGGAGTCCATGTTCCTAGTGCTCTACATTATTGTCACTCCTACCTTCACATTCTAATTTGGACCACATTACCTTTCTCTTGAAATTTGATTAATAACAAGTCTTGGGGCACCAACACATTCTAAGTAGCTTCTTACTTAAGCACTAGAGTGAAATACTGTGTTAGCAGTAGCTGCAGGGCACAGCATTTCCCTTCTCTGTCTTATCTAGAGCGTTTCCATGGTCCTTAGTAAAATCTTACCTACGTTATAGACTATAGTTTCCAATCTCATAATAGCACTTAGATGGATGTTTAGAGCACACCTGTTCAGTCACTTTCTGCCTTTTCAAGGCTACAAATGGGTGGAGAAGATAGAGACATTGGCCACCCCAATCCTGAAGCACCACTCTCCTTTCATACCTGATGAGCCCTAGGTCTGTTGTACCTAATCTAACTGAAGAGCTTTAGAGAAAAGTTCATTTGAATGTAAGCATGATTGGAAAGTATGTATTCATTAGTTCTTTTAACAAGGGTAGCATTATGGCGTGGAACTCAAAGTCTCCCAAAGACCATGTGGTAAAAGGTGAGGTCACCACCTGTGGCAGTACTGAGAGATGGTGAGACCTTGAAGAGGTGGTTCCAAGTCAAAGGACTTTAAGTCCACCACATTTAGCACCATGCTAGAATCTTCATCACACATCCAAAGCAGTGGAACCATGGACAGAAACCTCTGAAACCATGAACCAAAAACACGTATTTCCTCTTTTAAATTGATTTGTCCCAGGGATTTGTCACAGTGATACAAAGGAGGCTACAACAGAAAATTGATTCCAAGAAATAAGGTAATTGTTGTGATTATCCTTGACAATATGGTTCAGATGCCTTTGGAACTGGTTTTCAGGAGGAATATAGAAACATTTGGAGGAGGAGGCTAAAAAAGCTTGGGATGGTGTAAGCAGAACAATGAGCAGCAGTTCTAGTAAGTGCTCGGAAGTCCAGAATGCTGACAGGAATGATGGGAGTAAGTCCCAGGCTTGTGAGATTTCAGATTGGAATGGAACTATACTGGGAATTGGATTAGAGACCAGGCATGTTACATTCTGGCAAAGAACTGGTTTATATTCTGTCTTAATCCCTTAAACTTTGTATAAGCCAGTATTTAAAGGTGATGAGCTAATTTATCTGGCAGAGATTACTTCCGAGCAGCAGAGTATTGAGGCCGTGGCCTATATACTTCTGGCTGGTTTTAGCCAGATTTATACTAAGAATCAGGAGCAAAAAGCAAAGCAGAAATATTAGAAAAACTTGCAGAAAATCCTGAATAAAGTTATGTCCAAGAACAATGTGGTCATTAAAGAATTTAATGCTGCTTAAAAAACAAAAAACTCAAGTGTTTTGCATAGGGAGAATAAGAAAGATGCTTTAAGGTTTGTTCCTTCTGTAGCAAGCTCAAACCTTGAGGTGGTTGGCTATTACAGATCTACCCAGGAAATAGTTTTCTATGAATTTATTTCCCTACATCCATCCATCCATCCATTCAGAGGTCACTGCAGCCATGGTCCAGCCAGGCCCAGCTACTGCTTGAGCTGGCAGCTGACTTCAGTATCATCCACATGATATGGGCTTTATAGGGATGTAGAGTGCAAGAGTTGTAGGGTCATGAAAACTCATTCAGATTTAAAAGAAATGCCTGAAAGGCCAAAATGTGTGGCAGAATTGGAGTCCCTATGAGTAGCCCCAACAGGGCAATGTGTGAACCTTGAGAGTGATGTTGAAGCTACAGTGGAGGCCCAAGGAAGTTAAGAGATGCTAAGGATGTAGAATGCGGTAAGTAGAGCTAACCCAAAGGAGAGGCCATGTAGGCCATGTGGGCTGCAGCCAGCAAGGCCAAAAAGTTGCCCAAGCCCCTTGTTGTAGCTCACATCATGCCACTGTGTGCCCCCGATACTGGGACTTAGAGCTACCGGATTTAAAGTTTTCCCTGCTGGATTTCAGTTTTGTTTTGGCCTGATTTCTCCTTATTATCTTCTTATTCCTCTTTTTTAGAATGGGAATAGTTACCCTATACCATTGTATCTTGATATTTTAATCACCAGCTGCTGAGACCCAATACCTAAAACCCACAACTTGAAGGAGGAAAGGTTTGTTTTGGTTCACAGTTTTGGTGCATGATCAGCAGGCTCCAAGGCAGAAACAGGACGGCAGAGGGACACAGCAGAGGAAAAGGTGCCCAACCCTTGTTAGGCAGGAAGCAGAGCGAGAGGGGAGGAGTGGAGGCCCAGAATATACCCTCTATGTAACGCTTCCAGTGGTCCTCCAACCCGCCTCCTCACATTCAGCTGTGAACTCACCCATGGATTCACTCCACAGATGAGTTTAGCACCCCGTGATCCACTCACCTTCCAAGCACATGAGATTTTTGGAGGCATACATAAAGTATTTTAGAGGTAAACCAGAATACATGGTCTTTTGATTTTTATAGGGGCTCACAGCTAATATTTTCCCTAATTATCAGAGGACACTTAAGACTTGTAAGCTATGTTAACACTGTTTGGGGACTTTTGAAGTTGAACTGAATAAATGTTACATTGTGAGATAGACATGAGCCTTTGGGAGCTGGGGCAGAATATTATGGTTTAGATCTTAAATATTTCCCAAAGGTCATGTGCTAAACACTTAAACACCTGCCTGTGACACTATTGGGAGCTGGCTGAACCTTTAAAAGATGAGGTCTAGTGAATAAAAGTAAGGTCACTGTGTGTGTACCCTTGAAGGAGACTGTGGGACTCTGGCCCCTTCCTCTCTTTCTGCTTCAAAGCCACCATGAGGAAAGCTTCATATGTTCCCCACCAAGATGTCTTACTTCACAACAGGTCCAAGCAACCATGGACTAAAACCATGAGCCAAGTAAATGCTTCTTCCTTATCAGTTGATTATCTCATACTTTATCATAGTAATGACATGCTAACTAACATAGATGGACACTAGATACATTTATATTTATCCTGAAAGAAATCAAACTTCATTATAATGCATTGTTTTGAAAACTCAGATTACATTTATAAAATATGCTCTCTCTTTTGCTATTTCATAGGACTCCAAGATGGAATCTGATTACTTGAAAAGGTGCTTTGGAAATAGCCTGACCCAGGCATTGGCAGAGATAGCAAAAGTTCAGCCCAGTGATCCAATAGAATATCTGGCTCACTGGCTTTATCATTACAGAAAAATTGCAACAGACAAAGAAAAGGTGTGTTTGTGATCCAGTCTGTGTGGAGAGGGCTCAGCTTCCTAGGAGTAATTTGAAATCCAAGGCAGAAACCTGGAGCTGGCTTGTAGAGTTTTATGGTTCATCTACTTCACAGAGATTACACAGGCCTAACTGTCTCAGGAGTGTGGACAGTCTTAGGGCTAAAAGCAGAGCAAATGAGGTGGGTGGTGGCGTTGGTGGAGCTCCCACTAGGCTAATGCTAGCTCCAGGAGGAAGTTTGATAGGCTTAAGGGTCTCAGGTCTGTGCTTCAGGTGCTAAGGCTTTTATCTGCTGACTGCATTGTGCTGTGGCATCACCCCAGGATAGGCAAGAGAAGATCCAGCTACATGAAGAATATCACTGTAGCCTGAAGGAAAAGGAAATGATGGAAATTCTGAAACAAGAAGAGTGTCAGATACAACAGAAATATGCAGAGTGTCACAAGGTAAAAGGTGGGATTCACAGGGCCCCGTGATCGGCCCAGGGACCCACGGCAGCCTGGACAGGACACTTGGAGCTCCCTTTGCCCATTTCCCTGAACAGTCACACGTTTACCTCAAAACCAATCTTACATTTCTTGTGAAAGAAAAAAGGGACATATTAGAAGACCAGGTTCATTTTAGATTTCAGGAACTACCATGCATAATACTGGCTTGAAAATTCATATTATTTTTTCAGTACTAGGGGTTGAACCCAGAGACATTGTGTCACAAAGCTACATCTCCAGCAAACTTTGTTTTTGAGACAAGGCCAAGCTAACTTGCTCAGGCTGGCCTCTAACTTGTGGTCCTCCTGCCTCAGTCTCCCAAGCACCTGGGATTAAGGTGTGCACCTCAAACGTGGGCCAGATTCTTCTTTTAACTTTGTTCATCTAAAGTAAATGTTTTATAATGTAAAGTTCTTTAGTCCTTTTCAAAAAATTATTCAGTATTTTTCAGAAACTAAGTATGGTTGTTACTAGTTTAACTTCAAATATGTATTTTATTTCATATTACTTGTATACTTATTATGAAGCGTCAGACGACTCCTGTATGCTATTGTAGTAACAGACTAAAATAGTTAGAAACAACTATTTTTTCATCAGTCTTTTGTCTCCCATGATCTTTTCTTTAATCTTCTAAAAAAGAAGTATTTTGCCATTTTATGCTTTTCCACAAAGTATATGATCCCTGATTAGAAAAATCATTTAATTAGAGTGTTGGGCTTGATATCTGATCTTTTCTTCATTAGCACTGTGCATTCAAATCTTCAATGCAGTCCTATTCAGTTCACTAATTTTTGCTTCCAAAGCCAGTTTTGAAAACATAGAACTGTTAAGCTCAGTTACATTTATTCTCAATATCCTCATAGACAGTTGATACATTTTTAAGGCTGCATATTTTATAAAAAGGTGAAATCAAGATGAAGATAGTTTATACTTTTGACAATTGTCAAAGGATATTCTGTCAAGGATCCATTCTTTGAGCAACTACTTAGAGAATGTTGAAGTGAGGATCATTAAGCAAACCTTATACCACCTCTCTGCCCACTCTGATCATTTCTGTCATTGCTAACAGAAACATACAAGTGTGGAATGACTTCAAAATCCCACCCTCACTTATGGTAACTTTTTTTTAAAGCAAACTTTGCTTACACCAGTATTTTATATGGTTCCTTTGTCTTGCACCTTGTAGCACCTATACCAATATCCCTTAGCAAGATTTAGATGAACTGGGTACACATGTTACTGTAAACTAAGTAGCTGGAGGGAAATGTGGGGTTAGGAGAGACAGCCCAGGAGGCTGCAGAGAGATGATTTCAAGCTTGAACGTAGCCTAGACATCTTGGTTACTTTGCAAGACCCTGTGTCAGAGAGAGGTGGGGGGGAGGAGAGAGAGAGAGAAGAGAAGAGGAGGGGAGGGGAAGAGAGAAGAGGAGAGGAGAGGAGGGGAGAGGAGAGGAGAGGAGGCGAGGGAAGAAGAGAGAGAAACGACCTGGGGATGGAGGTGGTGTGAAGGTTCTGTGTTCAATCCCCAGGAATGCGAAAAAAAAAGAAATTTTAGGTAAGTAAAAGGTATCCCTTCTCCCTCTCTCTTTCTCTCTTAATGTTCTGGGGTTTAACACCAGGGCCTTCACTACGTCCCAGCCCACTTTTTATTTTTTATTTTGAGACAGGGTCTCACTAAGTTGCCCAGACTGGGCTCAAATTTGTGATCCTCGTGTCCTAGGCTTCCCAAGATTCTAGGCAGCAGGTCCTACCATGCCTGGCTAGGTATGTAATTCTTTTGCCAGTGTGACGCAAAGGCCATTGTAAAGGATGACAAAATGAAAGCCAGCATTTCTCCTAAAGTATGCTCAAGTTCTCAATATTAGACAAGAGGCACATGCAAGCTATGGTTATAGAAACTGATTCCTTGTGTTAGAAAGAAACAAGACAATCCAGGAGTGAGTTAAAACAAAGCCAGATAAATTGCTTGCCTGGGGAGGGAGAGCCACTTCATCAAGGTGAGTTAATTTCCAAGTAAATTTGAAAGAGCTAGATAAAAGGCAAAGAGGTAATGGTACATCAAATCATACAAGAGTCTTAAGTTCTAGTTTCTGGTTTATGCAAGATGCGTTATAAACTCTTCCCTGCTATTGATCACATTCACATGTTGTCTCTAGAATTCAAATCCCTGGTTTCAAACAGGCCCCAACCTGGTTTCATCACTTGGTTTATTTGCACATACTCCATGCTTTGCAAGGTTGTTCTTTGCTTTCACCTTAGCAAGTCTGTGGGTGCCCCAGATTGAATACTACTAGTCTACTGACCACGTCTAAAGAGCAGAAACAAACCGGGAGTGGTGGCACTTGCCTGTAATGCCAGTACTCTGGAGGCCAAGGCAGGAAGATTGCTGCAAGTTGGAGGCCAGCCTGGGCTACAACATGAAGTGAAGGCTAGCCTGAACTATAGAGCAAGACCCTGTCTCAAAAAAAAGAGAGAACAAAAATAGTGCACGGTGTAAAAGAAAAAGAAAAAGGAAAGAAAGACAGAGACAAGTGAAATGAAAGGAAATAGAGACAGAGTGCTAGGTGTAGTTGGCATCATGTTCAACTGCAGGACTCAAAAGAGCTTCAAGGAGGAGGTATCATTTGAGTCCAACCTAGAAGAGAGCTGGCAGAGGCTGTCTTGTATTGATTTCTGTTCATTAACTAAAGGAGCTTTGAGTGAGTAAATCATAATTTTATTTCTAAGGCAGAGAGCAATTCCTTACTGTTTGTGGGGATTTGGATCCCACAGACGTTTTAGAATATATTTTCAAAGCAGTACAAGTGTCTGCTGCATCAACTCAACATTGTGAAACTAGCAATGTCCTCTGGACAATGCGGGCAGTGCTTCGCAGGGCTGTCTGTGTGGCTTAGGACCACCATGAAATGGTCCTGTGGGGCACAGGCAGCTCTGCGATGGATGTGTTCAGTGCAGCATAAATTTCCAAGGATGCCTATCTTAGCCAGGGACTCTAATGGCACATGCATTAGACTGCTGACATTGTTTCATAGGTCACTGAGCCTTTTGTCCATCTCCTTTTTCCCTCTGTACCTCATTTTACATAACCGCTATTGGTCTGCATTCAGGTTTTCTTTTTTTTTTTTTTTTTTCATAATATCCAATATTGTACATAGGAATGTCCATGAAATTTTTTTTCCCACTTTAATGGGAAATTTTTTTTTATTTAAGAGGAAAAAGAGAAAAACACAAAACAAACCAAAGCGGCGTAAGGGTACACGCAATACAGAACTACAAAACAAAACAAAACAAAACAAAAAAACATTAACAGTAAGAAATTACCTGCTAGTAGATTACACACTATTTTCTTGAAAATAGTTCCTCAAATCACAGTATCAAAGAATACAAGGTGGACATTCAAACAGGGAGATTGCAAACAGCTGTCTTCAATGTTCCAAAAACATTGATAAAGTCAGCTATTTAACACCCCCAAACACACTTGCTGTTATATCCGTTAGAGCTCTTTTTCTTTTTCTTTTTTTTTCCCCTCTCTTTTTTACAACAAAATTTACACATCTTGGATTTTATTACTCCTTAGTGCTTATTACTTTCTTGGGGGGGGGGGAAGAATACAGTCAAATACGGCAAAACAAAGCTGTCAGTCAATACCAAGGATAAACATAGCACATGGTGTAGAACAGAGTACAAGTTTATCAACAATGGTTATCAACGTTGTCCCTTGTTTCCTTAAAAAGAATTGTCTATCTTATTAGATATTATAAAGTTGGACAAAACAGTAGAGAACAAGACCAATAAAACTTAGGCATTGTAAACATTACAGGACTTCCAAAGAAGACAATAGTCAAACCAGAATGGGTATCTTAGTGAATCTTATTGTCTTCAAAGTAGTTGCCTATGTCTTCAAACTTGATACTATCATATAGAATGGAACAGAGTCTAATCAGTCAAAACAAGATCGTGGGAGTACTACAGGACTTCAAAACAAGTTAATAGGAAATCGAAAAGAGTTACTATTTATATATCCTAATTTTTTTTGAATTTTTTCTTTAATTAAGACAAACATAAGAAATAACTAATTTTTTTTTGAAACAATAAGGGGGAGATTGAGATAAAACAGGACATAACAATATAACAATAGAGGTCACAGCATGACTGTTTCAACAACCTAGTACTTCACCACCTTATAACCTGACTTAATAGTAGTTACCATAGTGTCTTTTTCCTTGAAATATTTGGGTAAAACTTCATATACTCTAGCTTCAAATATTTTCATATCAAGAAGCCCAGAATAAAGACTTTCTAATTAATGAGTGAAAACTTTATAAGGCTTCAAGGCCACCTAATGGGGAATCATGATTACCACATATTTTTATATATTTGAATCATTATTTACATTAGGGAAACTATTCGGTATTCACACATGCGAGATTGATTTATTTCACTAATGAGTATGGTCTCAAGCTGCGCACATTTATTGATAAATATCTCAATGTGATCCTTCTTTATAGCTGAATAATACTCCATTGTATAGAAATACCACAACTTTTTTATCCATTCCTCAGTTGATGGGCACTTGGGTTGTTTCCAAGATCTGGCGATTACAAATTGTGCTGCTATAAACATAGGTGCACATATATCACTGTGGTATGATGCTTTCAGTTCTTCTGAGAATATGCCTAGAAGTGGAATAGCTGGAATAAATGGGATTTCCAGTCCCAACTTTTTGAGAAATCTCCAGACAGATCTCCACAAAGGCTGTACCAGTCTACACTCCCACCAGCAGTGCAGGAGAGTTCCTTTTTCCCCACAGCCTCTCCAGCATTTGTTGTTGGTTTTCTTGATCCTGGCCATTCTTTCAGGAGTGAGATGGTATCTCAGTGTGGTTTTAATTTGCATTTCTCTAATGACCAATGATGATGAGCATTTTTTCATGTATTTATTTACCATTTGCATTTCTT